CATCCCCTGCTTGAAACTTCTACTGCTGTAAAGCTAAAGAAAATACGAGAAAGTGTAGAATGTGCTACAACTTGTGGGGCTCCCTTACACAGGGAAACTAGATATGTGCAAGAGAAACAAATCTAATGCTGGGGGCCAGTTGCTTCCTTTTAGGCGCTTCCAGATTTGTATTTTAAAGGTCAGACAAAAGGAAGATGAATTTTAGTTTTGTTCTTTAGTCTCTTGTAGAAAACCCCTACGTTTGGAATATTTTAAACCATGGACGAATGTCTCTGTCAGTTGGGGTCAGAGTGAAATGGAATGAAATACTGTACTGATGTTCATGGTCTGCTCAGAAAACAGGAAGCCAGTGATTTAAAGCTACTCTGGCTCTTGTTATTTGATCCAGTGGGTGCAGATCAGCTCGCTGATTCACTTCCCTGCTGGTTCCACGTCTGACCTTTTGAAGGAGATGCAATTCCAACTCGGTTCTTATGTGATCTCATCCTCCTCCCCCAATCACCTCAGCACACTCTGGCATCGTTCTGTCAGATTCGAATTCCTGGGTACAGCCGTGTACTTTTAATGTATTGAGTTGGCCAAAAAGAAATTGCGGTTTTTTTCAATAGATGGACATACATGTCTTGAAATGTAACTGGCTCCATTTTAAACTGCAAATTCATCGTGTAACTCGGCAGCTGGCAGTTCAAGCTTGTTTTAGAAAAAGTACATGATTTTGTTTACTATTATTTACTTGGTGTTGATATCAAAATGAAAAAGCAAAACAAATGTTTCCATCATATTTTGTTGTATTACTTCTGAAAAGGAAAAACTCTGTGCAAGCACATTAAAAGTGATGTGATTGTACGGTGAAGATGCCTTAAAACTACGGCAGTGTCAGAATTGGATTGCTAATTTTGGTCTGGAGATTTTGATGTTAAAGATTCACCATGCTCAGGAAGGTCAATTGAAGTTGATAACAACAAAATCAAGGCATTGATTGAACCCAGTCGCCGTTTAATGACACGAGAGATTGCTGATCATCTGAGCATACTGAAATTGAGCATTGAAAACCATTTGTAACAACTGGGATACGTTAGGAAGCTCGATGTTTGGGTACCACAGGAGCTCAAAGGAATTCATCTCACTGAGCACATGGACATCTGCGGTTCTCTTGAAGCATGAACAGAAGGATCCATGTTTGAAACGTGTGATAACAGGCGATGAGAAAGGGATCATCTACAACAGCGAGTGAAAAAGATGGTGGAGCAAGCGTGATGACCCAGCTCAAAGTCCTTCCACAGCAGATTTTCACCAAAGGAAGGTTCTGCTGTCAGTCTGGTGGGATGTCAAAGGTTCTTGTGCATTTTGCATTGCTTCCAAGGAACCAAACCATCAATTCGGGCCTGTTCTGTCACCAGCTGGGTACATTAAATGGTGCCACCAAACAGAAGTGTCCAGAACTGGTGAATCGCAGCGCTGCTGTTTCTCTGTGATCCCGCTGGACCACAGGCAGGTTTGGTCACTTGTGAAATTGCTGCAGCTCGGATGGGCTGTGTTACCACATCACCAGACCTGGCACCATCAGGCTGCCTGTTGTTTTGTTCTTTACAGAATGCCTTGGGTGGTAAAAGCCTCACTGCTGATGAGGATATCACATTGTTCCTGGAACTGTTTTTCTGCTGAAAAATATAAGAACTTCTTTGAGTTTAGAATCATGAAGTTGCCTGAGAGATGGCAAAAGGTAGTTGAACAAAACAGACACCATATTGTTTAATGAAGTTTTTGTTTCCCGTGAAAAATTTACCTTTCAGTTACCCAGAAAAAAATCGCAGTTACATTTTGGCCAAACCAGTAGTTTGACACCAAGAGATGTGGAAGTACACAGCCAGTACTCTGCTGCAAGCCAGCTCTGTATGCCGTGGTTGAGAACTGTAAATCACACTGAAATTGTTTAATCCCATGAAGTGAATATTTTAAAAGTACTTATTAATTCTCTTGATTGTTATTTGTGGGCTGCATATCAGATGCATCAAGCCTAATCATTTGAGTTAATTTAAAGGGAGAGAGTAGGCATAACACTTTTGAGGAATGTTTCACAGATGCCTAATTACAAGATAAGGTGTATTCTGAGTATATGCACTCAAGAATAGGTGTTTTTAAAACGCAATTTTTATTCTTTAATGTTATCTGAATTTTGTGAAAGGCTGTTTCAGCTTAATATGTGTAGACTTTTTTAAAGACTGGAAAATATTTTCCGTAATAGTTTTATTCAACTGTTTAGGTGGGTTGTAAAAAGTAGTATTATAAATTGGAATGTTAATAATAAAGAAAAAAAATTTGTCTTGTGGCTCCATTTATGGTAGAAAACTGCACAGAGCTCTGCATCTTCCAGTTCAGCTTTTGCTGGGGAGTGATGGTGCAGGAGGTTTCCTTAGTTCTTGTCAGTTTATTCACCCCATCTACGGTTGTAGAAGATTTGCTGCCAGTATTGTCGTATGTGAAATCACAGAAATCTTTCAAAATGGTTTGGGCTGGTGCTTTCCACATGGCTGTGTCAATCTTGTAGTGTTGTTTAATTTCTTTAAAACACATATGCTTAGAAAACCACCTTTTTTTTTCTTTTTAACTCCTTAAACGTTACTCGTATCACCAGTGTCACAGCTTACCACCATGACTGAACTGGAAAGGGAGCAGTAGGTTACGGTGGGTGGAAAAAGGAGGGGTTTGATTCTAACCCCTGTACTTCCAGCCTTCAAAAGCACAACCTTGGAAGTGTGAGCAGAGGTGGAGGTAGATGCTAATTTTCTGTTCTTCAGTCTATAGAGATAAGTTGTACTGTCTGGGGTGTTTGGTGAAAGGGATAAAGAGTATATGATTTGAGTACAAAAACAGTTGAAACTGAAATCCTAGTGAGTGTTTGGAATGACCTTTAAGTCTATTCTGATATTAAAGATCACATCAAGCTATTTTTGTCCAGGCTTTTTAGTGAGGGTTGGCTTTTTTTTCCCCACACATCCACACCTCCTGATCTCCTGTCTCATCATATTCTGTGGATTCTCCAAGAATCCCCAGGCATTGATGTGGCGCTTGATTTGAAAAACGTTGCAATAATAACTTGGGATAGTCTGAAAAAGGGCGTTTCTTCTGGTTCTGGTTAGCAGCCAGAAATCAGGGAACCCAAAGGATATTTGTAGAGGTTAAGCTCATGGCCATTGTTGTTTTGTTTCTTCTGGTTCTGGTTAGCAGCCAGAAATCCAGGGAACCCAAAGGATATTTGTAGTGGTTAAGCTCATGGCCATTGCTGTTTTGTATCATTATGAGTTCAAGAAGTAAAACAGGATTTCTGTTGTTTTCTAGAAGCTGTGTAGCTGCTGGATTTTCCCCCTTTTTTAAAGTCAGCTTTCTGCATGCGCCTGCGACCATTTTTTGCTGGCTTATTTGGAGAGCTGTACATTCAGTTAGCAAGGTTTTAGTTCAGCCAATAGACTTTTCATCTGCTCCTCTATTTTGATCTGAGTTTCTGCGATTCGTTCCCCTCTGAGCCTTCTCCTTTTTTTTCATCTCTATGGGTTTCTCTTAGTATTGCTTAGCTTGGTGACGTGGGGAATGAGTGTACAAAGATTTGTCTGAAGGCCAGTACTGTATTCTTTATGTAGGGTGGCAGCCTTTCCGGAAGAGGAAAAGGTGAAAAACATACTTTTGTTTCCCCTTATGCTTTGCACCCAAGAAGCGGGGAAAAAAAGCTGATATTTTAATTATTATCTTGTGAGTAAGTAATTCTGTGATTAAAGTTAATAAGGCTAACTTCTCGAGACCAGTCAGAGCCACCTACCCTGCATGATGTGCTCTAAGCTGTGTGACGTACTGAGAATGAGACCTGGATCTGCCGAGTCCAATCCGTTGGTTTGGGTTTCTCTTAATCAAAGCTTGTGTATGTTGGTTTCTTCCTTTCAGGAGTTAGAGGATAATGGGGTGAGCAAGGACTGGAAGCTTGGCTAAGGGACGTGCAATGGTTGGAGATTGGTTTGAGAACGGTTACTGCCGAGTAAGATACGAATGGCTTGAATGCTGAGAATTGCACAGTGGCATTTGACAAGAACATTTTGGTAGCTGCAGCATTGGTTCTAAGAAAAGGGAGAGAGAATAAAAAACCTGAGCTCTGTCCCAGCAATGTTGTTGTTCTGCACCCGTTCACAGTATCATCTGTTGCGTGTTGATAAAGGCACACTGATGAAATGAGCTCTGGAACAGAGCGTTCCTCTGGAGACATCACTTCTTGGATCTGAATTTTGAAGTTTCAGCCCATCAGAAACATGTTGCTTATAACTTCTCTGCACTAAGGACTCTTGTCCAAGTGCTTAATGTTTATTTAGGAAATAAATATTTTTTTATTGCCAAAAATAGCATTTCAATATTAAAAGCTTGCTGTATAATGTAGGGACTTCAAGCAGAAGCATCCAGCATTAGTGTGAATGCAAGAGATGGCAACGTATGTATTATCTGAAAAAACCATTTAGTTACACACTAGGGGAAAAAAAAGTCTTGAAGGATGGTCTGCAGAACTGAAAGAAAAGTCAAAATGAACCCTTGTTAAACTAATCTGGTTTAGTCTGATCAAGCTGAGCCAAGGCTGATCTTTAAAAGCTTATTTCGTTCTTCTCTCCTCCTTGAGAACTCCTTGAAATAAGTAATACAATGGCAAGCTCATTAAGGTCAAACTTTTATAGTATCTAGGAAGAGCTAAATAAATTTTAAGTGGTGTTTAGTGTGGTACTTCTCCAATGATAACCCTAACAGGTGGAACCCCACATTTTAGGGATAGTGATGCTAGCCATATTTTTTATGAACATTGAAATCTTCGCAAGACAGCTTTGAGAACTTCTTAATTAATATCTGGAATATCATAGCCAGGGATCTGTGTATTACTAATTATTTTGCAGTGGTAGTTTACAAGACTTCATTGTGTTTAACATTGTACAAATGAGGAAATATTTCTTTTTGCTCTGAACGTTTTACAGTTGAAGTCAACGAAGTCAAAGAGGCGTATGAAATGATTTCTGTAGCAGGGGTGGGAAGCAGTCGCATCCGTCCATGGATGGGTGTTGTAGTTACTACACTTGCGATGCTACAGGTGCTTAGGAGAAGTACAGTGAGTGAGGTATTCCGTGATGTGAGCGTGTCTGTTGATTTGCAGAGTGTGTAGGTATGGCAGCACGGATTATGCACATGTCAGCATAATTGTGGCCATGATAATGTTTAGTCTCATGAGCAGAACTAGCATAATTTAATAAGCTCAAATTAGCGATAATTCTAAATGATGGGGTGTGTTCTCAATCTGTTCACTTTATCCTTTGTGAGTTGTGGACTCTTCTCGAAGGCCAGTTATCTTACAGGAGAGCAGGGTGTGATCTGTGGCTTTGTGCTTGTGGTGCACTTGTGTGCTATTAACGGCTTCATTTTTTTCCTGTTCTTTCATCAATAGGTGACAAAGAAAGTCAAGTCCATGCAGATGTTCCATACTCCTGTGACTTATGCTATGCAAGGTGACAGAGTAGGTATCTGCGTGACCCAGTTTGATCCCAAACTGCTAGAACGGGGCCTGATTTGCACCCCAGAGTCACTTCACACCATCCACGCTGCAATAATTTCCCTGAAGAAAATCCAGTATTTTCGAGGGGCTCTTCAGACCAAGGCCAAGTTCCATATCACAGTTGGTCATGAAACAGTTATGGGAAGAGTGATGTTTTTCAGCCCAGCCCCTGCTGACTTCAATGAAGAAATCAAAGAAAATGTGTTTGATTTTGAAAAGGATTATCTTTATCAAGAGGAATATTTGTCCAAGGACTCAAATTCTTCAGAGGAGAACAAAGAAAATGACCAGGCAGGGTGCGTCCAGCTCCCAAGACAACAGTGGGCTTTGCTGGAGTTTGAGAAACCAGTCACTTGTCCTAAGCTGTGCCTCGTGATTGGCTCCAAGCTGGACACAGACATCCACGCCAACACCTGCAGGTTGGCCTTCCATGGCGTTCTGCTCCAAGGCATGGAAGACAAGAACTACACCGAGACTTTCCTTCCAAAGCTGAAGGTGTACAAGCTGAAGCACAAAGAGGGACAAGTGGAAAGGGTAAGCTGTCTTTTTACTGCTGTACACGGGAACGGGAAATATTTGTTCTGCTTAACTACGTATGCTGGTGGGCTACAGTATTTTCATTGGTGTGCTCCAGTCTTTATACACATTTCTGTTATGTCTACCTGAAGTGTTACATCTTGTCTGCTTGCAAACAGTCACCATTGCTTGAAAGGGACTAATTTATTCGGTTCAGTTCAGAGTTAAGTAATCGGATGTTTGTTTTTCACGATCCTTTTGTTATCTGGCCACTCTGTTCTTCCTGCAAACTTGTGTTGTTTGGGTACCTTCCTAAGCGGCCCATCTGCTCTATTCCCAGTTGACAAAACTTCCAGCTTTCTGCTGACATATTTCACACCGTTACTCTGCAGTACGTTGAAAATTTAGAGACAGCATAAAGCAAACAGAAAACTGTATTAAGTTAAAGAACACAATGAACACAGTTAATTCTTTTGTGCTTTTCCGTATTTCATTAAATAAGACCCTCAATTACTAACACTTATTTTAGCAGGCAAAAAGAAGCTCCTATAAGATGTCCTACAGAACTACACTGTACTAAAGCTGAGATCAAGCTCCTGACACAGAGAACTCGGAGCCTTGATTGATGCTGTTGTTTCCGTGTCTCACAGTTGTTTATCTGCTGTAGTGTTTGTGCTTGACCCAGCTCGGTGTGGCAGTAAACAGAAGTGCTGCCCAGAGGGACACGGGGTAGCATCTACAGCTAAAATTAATAGGGATTCTTTTATTATCCCTATGTATGGATAGACACGCTGTCTATAGTTCTTGTTACTATTATGTCACTGTCATAAGTTCGATTTTTGGTGTTGGTTACCTTTCAGTAATCGGTGGAGAACTACTTGCGGATACATTCTGTAGTGGAATTTTTCATACTGATTGGTTTAGGTGGAGATGTGTGACATATATATTTTGTAACCTCATCTGGGTGTTCCTGCTCCGGCAGGGGGATTGGACTGGATGAGCTTTTGAGGTCCCTTCCAATCCCTAACGGTCTGTGATATAAAGAACTTAAATGAGCCGGGTTGATGAAACCTCTAGCAAATGTTTATTTACTGTATTAGTACAGTAGGTGTTTTATCAACTTTTGGCTGAAGAACTGTTAATTCTTATTTTCCTAATCCAAACCCTGATTGTTTGAAGTAAATATTTAGTGTTCTTTCACCTTTTCAAAATTCCATGAAGCTGTGTTGAGTACTGCACAGTATGTGGTGTGCTGGTTTTTGGATGCTGATTTTGTCCCTGGGAAGGAAGGCAGTGAAGAAGAGGGTGTCTGTAGCTTTCTGAACATTTTGTCTCTATTAATACTGGTTGCGTGGATTTTGGGTTACACCCAAAATAAGCAGTCACTCTTCAGAATTTTGGTAGCAGGTGAGTTGTTTCCTTCATTTTAAATGGTCGTCTGCCTTTCTCTTTGGCTGATGGTGATGTTGAATAAGAACAACGGATCCAAAGTGCTCTGTTCTCTGAAGTGGACCAAACGTGCACGGGTGGGTACCAGCTCTTCTGATGCTCCAGAGCTGCCTGAACTTGTGAAGCATTTGTTAATCTTTGCTAAAAATTCACGTGCTTGTGCACAGCCTGTGCTACTGATATCCAGAGAGACCCGGCTTACGGCTCCTTCGGTTTCTCTGTGGCTGTAGGAATATGAATGAGAACAGCAGTTTGTGTGACCCATGGAGACACCTGCGGCTTGTGTTTTGTTTAACTGAAATGAACCGGCCTCAGATTCGTTCTTTATTTTTGCTCCCGATGCATAACATTGCTCTATGGGAGTTGAAAACTTGCCGAGTACCAACTGTGCGAGTTGTCTGGTGGGGCTGAGGGAGTTTGCCATTAGCTTTGGTTATAAATGTTTTTGTTTAGTGTTATTTTCAAATCCTTTGTGTATATATTGGTGGACTGTTTTGATATCTTCCCATGCCTTTTAAAATACAGATCTGAGGGATTTATTATTTTACCCTGTCTTTGTCTGTCATGCAGTGTGTCCTATACATGGGCCTTCATTGGTGTCTGTATGAATATGTTTTGATATCTTCCCATGCCTTTTAAAATATAGAGCTGAGGGATTTATTATTTTACCCTGTCTTCGTCTGTCACGCAGTGTGTCCTATGCATGGGCCTTGATTGGTGTCTGTATGGATTTTAATGGACCCTGTAAATGAACGTTTGCCATCGAACGGTGTGTCTGCAGTTAGGTTTGTTCTCGGGTTCTGCCTCCTGTGGTACTGCAGAACTCAGAGTATTTGGTGTTTTCCCTGATGCGTGCCCAGAGGACGGGCAGGCGGCGTAAGAGATGCTCGTGGTGTAAAGTCGCGGGGCACACAGGGGCTGCAGAGTTGGGAGAAGAGGATGGTGCCGGCTGGGGGAGCCCTGCTGGGGCAGAGCGTGCAGCGCTGGTTGAGGTGGCTGCTCTAAGTCTCTGCTGTTGCGGAGCAGCAGGAACAATTGGGTGGTACAGCGACTTATTTTAGTCCACAAAGTCGCTAGCTAATAGAAAATCTGAATCAGCTGGTCCCACCCTGCTGCTGCTGGATGGCTGGAGATTAGGATCGTTGAATTTAGGGTGTCTGTTCTTGGCACTGATACAGGAAAATTTCCCTCTCTGTTGAGCAAGGAAGCTCCCCCCTCCTCACCTTCCCTGGGGAGGCATCAAAAACAATAATAATTAAAAAATACATGTTACCTTCCTAAGAAGTGAACTTTTCCTCCAGAGAATACTGCTGGGGAAAATTAGCTTCGTGGCTTCCTGACAGACTGGCAGAGAGGGAGGCAGGGGCACGTAGCGGCCGCCCCCCCAGGTTCAGCGCGGGGTGGAAGCGCGCTCCCATAGCCGGGCTGCAGTGGAATTCAGTGGTGCCTGTTTGTGAAGTGTTGCTGCTAATCTGATGTGGGCTCTCCCAAGCCCCCCGTGTGCCGCTAGAATTAAAATAAAGTCCCTGCAGTTTAACTACGAGTTTACCCAGGAGAAATCAGGCATTTATTGTTTGGCTTTTTGTTCCTGTTTTGATTAATTTCAGAGCACTGGTGGAATAGTAAGAATTGTAACTTCGTTAAGTTTCAGCGTCACAGTGCGTTTCTTCTGTGCCCCTTGTGCCTGGTATCCCCCTGGATTTTAAGGTTGGTTTGGTTTGGGTTTTCTAATAAAATAAGAACATTTATTCACAAAGAGTTTTTGGCTCTTTAAGAGCAAATGTGACATTTTTGCTGTTTCACATAGAAATCAAATCCACTGAGTAAACACTATATTTTAAAAGGTAAAAAAATCATACTTGAACTGGCACAAGGTCTTCGATTAGCGCGGTTTATTGAAAATCCATGCCTAAGCTTCCTGGCTCTTACCATCTGTTCAAGCGATGGTGAATTTTTGTAGAACACTGAAGTGCCCTTGCACTTCCTTAGTACCGTTCAGTGTTTTCCTGTTGTGTCTTGCCTCTGTAATGCTCTGACTCTGTGAAGCACTGGGAGAGAAATAATCAAAGCCCTTACTACTGTTGTTCACCAGGCCCTTTGATTTACCTGTCAGCAGCATATCCTTGTACTTACCTTTTACATCCTTGCTTCTTTACCCACTGATATTTTTTTGAAAGTACGTCTTACTGTAGTATCTGAGAACTTTGGCTTTAAAATGGTGGAGAACAAGCCTGATGAGGAGCGGCTGAGGGAACTGGGCTTGTTTAGCCTGGAGAAGAGAAGGCTGAGGGGAGACCTCATCACCACCTACAACTGCCTCAAGGGAGCTTGTAGAGAGGTGGGTGCTGGGCTCTTCTCCCAGGTGATGGGGGATAGAACAAGGGGAAACGGCACCAAGCTGTGCCAAGGGAGGTTCAGGTCAGAGATAAGGAGGAAGTTCTGTACTGAGAGGGTCGTCAGAAGCTGGTACAGGCTGCCCAGGGAGGTGATGGAGTCACCATCCCTGGATGTGTTTAAAGAGCGGGTAGACGAGGTACTTAGGGTTATGGTTTAGGGGGTAGACAGGAGTGGTTGGACGTGATGATCTCAGAGGGCTTTTCCAACCGAGCAATTCTGTGATTCTGTGTAAAACATTAAGCATCTGCCTTTTTGGTTAAGTTAGTGCTGTCTGAGACCCTGCATAGTGCAGGAAAACTGCTTGTAACCAGGATGGGGTGTCTTGGGGACTGCACCTAGACTGGAATTGCATCTTGGTCATGAAAGAGTCGCACTACTCAAATTGGATTTAGGATTTTTTGGATGTTTTTGAAATGTTGAAGTGTGTGGATGCTCTTGGTTTGCTTTAGACCAGATTTATTTTGGGGTTAGAGTAAATCTTTGGGGGTTAGTTTTAAGGAAAATCAAAGTCTGCTGTTTTCTCAGAAGTAGGAGGGCACTTGCAAAGCTTTGTCTTGCCTTAACTTGATGATTTAAAAATTACCTGAAATATTAGTCCAGTTTTTGTTTGCAGAGAGGAGACAGGAGAAGTTCAGAGAAGGAAGTTTCTGCCATGAGCATCTTTCTGGTGTGGTTATGTGGAGGACTGTTGCCCTCTACATGCTTTATTTTTGCAAAGCCCTGGCTGCCTGACAAACGTACTTCTGATAGGAAAAAGAGCCAGGCCAGCAACAAGTGGCTCGTACTGATAAAAAGGTAGAAGCAGGGCTGGAAGTGCTGTCGTGAGCGCTGGTCTTGCTTTAAGGAGCTTGATGTGAGAATCTTGGTGAAAAAAGCGGCGAATGAGATGCTGCGAAGCAAGTTTCTCCCTCAGAGTTGGCGCGCTGTTGGCGGTGGCTGTGAGTGTGGGCTTGTGAAGTGTCAGCAGCCCCTGGAGCGGGAGACGTCTTCAAGCAAATTACGGAGCTAAATGGCAATTGTCCTTGGTCTTGTGCTCCTGGAGACTGGCTGCTCACCAGGCAGCTCCTGGCTGGGCCGTGGGCTCAGAGACCTGTGTTAATCCTAACGCCATCTCTAAAGTATCTTCCTCCCTGAATTTTACCTTTACGCAGCATTGCGGATTAGTTCCAGTC